CTCGTACAAAGAGATCGCCAATCCATGACCCCCTGAACAAGCAGTAAAAACATTTCCAACAATGAATCTGTATTTGTAAGCTTTGTGGAGAAATTTCATTTTCAAAGTTCACAACAGTTACTGAAATCCTATTTCTTTCTCTATTACTTTCCGTTGCACAAGAATCTTGACAGGCTGCTCCTTCTCGAATGTAAATGGCCAGCAGGTGCTTATAAATGGATTGAAACCTGACTAGAGTCTTTGATCTATGACAATCTTTGGGAGTATATAACTTCACATTGAAAGCAACTACAGGTGAAACTCGAATAATTAGAATATCATGCAAAAGTAAATTGCAGTAAGTGCTGCAAAAGGGGCCCAAACCAAGTACTTAGTACATATGCATGCTTGTACTTTTCAGAGGTCCGATATTGTTCTATGTACAATCCTTGTTTTATTGATTGCATGTAATAATCTACTTTTTTGAGATTGTGGATTTGGGGTTCTTGGGGTTTTCATGAGCTGTAAGCCATAATCATCACAATTATGACAAATCACGGCTTGAACTATCTTGCTTTGCATGTAATGAGTCTATCTCATATATTAGTTTCACCTTTTAAGTTGCATTAGTGAAATAAATGAACTTTGCACGATATTCTAATTATTCGAGTTTCACCTGTATGTGATGTGAGATGAGAGATGGTTTGTTTTGAAAACAAAATTGCCAACAGTTTGTGAGCAGCCAGCACAGTGCCCCCCCCGGTGTAACCTCTCCCCCTTAAATTTGGATAATTGTAACGAGAGAAACAGGGGTTTTAGAGGAGGTATTACACCACAGCTTCAAGTTTTTGTAAAAATGTAATTTTATTTAACATCTATTATAAATATATATAAAAAAGCAACAGGTAGTTGCAATAGACCTGTATTGCAACCATTGTGCTAGCTGCTCACAGCCATCGCGTCCTATACCCGGGTATAGGATGCGACGCTGGTGGACTGCAAGCAGGGGGCATCAAGGCGGTATGCAGGAGATTCTGCGACCGGACTTTTGAGTTCCTTCCAAAAACCTGGTGTTTCACGAGTAGAACTAACAGGTTCATGGAAGTTGAAGCACAACAATATTTCAGCTAAGATAAGCATAGGCAGTCCTGCACTTCTGCTCACACCTGAAGTCCCTCCCATCGTGGCCCCCGTGACAAATCTGGGCGGAGTGTTTGTCTGAGGAATCCAACCCCCGTCTACACTCTGTACAGGGAGCTCTACCCATATCAAGCTACTCCGTGGTTGATCAGTCCATAATCCCCTGATGAAGCTACGCTGTGAAACCCTTAGGGAATTTCAAAAGAACATTCATTGATTTGTAATGGATATGTACAAGATGTTTTATGGGTCTACGCTCCTGATGCAATAGACCTAAAACGAGATCATTGTAACTACCAGTTGCTTTTTATATGTATTTTTAATAGAAGTTAAATACAATTAATTTACAAAAACTTGAAGCTGTGGTGTAATACCTCTAAAACCCCTGTTTCTCTCGTTACAATTGTTTTGAAAACAAAACATTTCAGATTCATCCAAGTCCCGAAACAAATTGACTTTTGGACCCCGAATCCCAAAAAACAAAGAACCCAATGAAACGAATTGAAAAAAAATGTTTTGCAGCTGCACGTCTAATTCTGAGCAAATCCAGAAGCAATCAATACACTGCTTGCTGGAATATCAGCAGAGTCCAGAAAAAGAGCTCAAAACAAGTTACAGCCTAGCTACAAAAGCACTTGTAAATGTAAATTAGGTACACCGACCGCTTAGGGCAGGGTCCCTACATAAAAATAAAGAACCAATCATCTCTCGGGTAACTGTGCCAAAATGATTCTTTGAAATACTGCCACCAGTAAGTCTTAACTGTACATAATTCAGCTGATAATGCCCTAATGATCTACTGTTAAGACAGATTGTGATTACTGTTCAAACAATTGCACAGTGGTGTCTCAAGTGGCACCAGGCGACAGAGGGGGGGGCACCAAAATTACTCAGAGGGGAATCTATCAACTGGAGCAGACAAAATCTGGAGCAGCTGGGCATGGCAACCAATCAGCTTCTCTCTCATTTTCAAATCTTAACTGACCAAACAGGAGAGAAGCTGATTGGTTGCCATGCACAGGTTTGAGTGGCCAACAGCCGTATAGGCAGGGCCGCATTTACCCTCCCTGCCACCCCAAGGCCAGGTTGCGCAATGCACCCACCCCCATCAACAGAGAATGGCAACCGGATGGCAGGGTTTTATTTTTGTTGTTTTTTAACTTGATCACTTTACATTTTTAGCTTCTCATTTACTTTATTTTTTTATAATTTCTTATTTAATAATTGTTTTTTGCTTTTAAAATCATTTCTCATTTGTTTTTAATTTTTATAAAAATATTTTCTCACTTAACTTTGCCATCACACAGGAGCTAGCCAACAAGCCCCTGTGTGATGTGTATGGAAGGTGACAGGTTCTCTTTTTTGACCTGTCACCTCCAATACGCAAGTTCCAGCACAGCACTGTGCTGGAACTCCTGTGACAGCTGAGATGAAAAGCACAGCTCTCCTCTCATTGTGTACACGGAACGGCAGGGTTAGTTTTAACCATGCCGCTCTGCTCACCACTCTCCATCCTGAAGACAGCGGCGGCCAGCGAGGAGAGGACGGAGTTGACAGCATGGAGAGGGGTAGGTACCGGAGCGTTGTAGGCCTGGAGGACATACCAGCTGCAGTCTAATTACAAGTGATCTTGGCGACATAGCCAAGATCACTTTAACAAGTGGCTTTCCCATTCTACATTTAGCCCTGCTTGTATAAAGCAGGGCTAAATGTAAAACAAATCACCGCCCGGAACATTAAGATTGGGAGACTTTAAATCTGTGCCCTTGTCGGGAATCCGGCTCGGTGCCTAAAGTTAACATCCCTGGGCGCTGAGGACTGAAAACATTTCTAAAAGCATCAGTCAGGCGGCCCCCTTCTCCACCGCTCTTCCTTTGACCAACCAAAGTCTCAGAAGCACCTCTTTCATGACTTGGTAACCAATCAGTGTCTGGATAAGGTGTTACAAGTTTCTCTTCAACGCGGAGTCATGTTTGGGAAGAGGGGAGAACATGCATAAAGTGGCAATAAAATCCAGAGAATCGGCTGTGATACTGTAGCCACCGACTAGAATTGACAGATCAGTAATGTATTTTGTAAATGACTAAAAATGTAATTAAATACTTCAGAAGCAGGCATGTACACCTATACATAGGAGGTATAAAACCCCACACATTTGCAAGCAATATTAAAGTCAAACGGGATTAAGGCAAATTAAAATGCCAATTAAACCACTTACAATGGATGCTGCTCCTTGATGTGTAACCCCTTCATGACTGAGCTTGTTTTTGGTTTCTGTTCGTAAATGACTGACACTTTTGACATTTTTGCTGTGTGATTCTTCCACGTCAGTAATATACTTTCTTACAAAGTGCACCCACACATATTATATATTGTTTTTTAGAGGACAGATAGGGCTATATATTTATATCACATGTGTGTGTAACGCCTCACTTAGGACAAATACAAAATTAAAAAAAAAAGGAAAAAAAACGTAAAAAAAAAACTTTTCCCAGTTTTGATTTGTAGTATTTTTTTTAACAAAACCAGCACAGCTAAAAAAAAAATGCAATACACACATTCATTTGTCCCTTATTTTTAATTTTTTTACACTTTCACTATTTTTTTTAATTTACACTTTTTTTATACTGACAAATTTTATTTATTTAATTATATCAGGCAGTCATTGTGAATTAATCTCACTATTACTGCTTGATAAATGAATAAAACATTTTTTAATTATCAGGCTGCTTCAAACTTCAGAACAGCCGATAATAAGTTAGTGACACTGATCCTGCAGCAGTTCAGGATTCAGCTGTCACTATAGGTTTTCTGATTGTTGCAACAACGATCAGCAAACTGAAACATTCTTCTTCCAGGAATAGATACATTATAGGAATAGACACATTATGTATCTATTCCCAAAAGGAAAAAAAAAAAAAAAGCCAGTATAGCTTGAGAGAGATATCTCTCGATCTATACGAGCTGTCAGAATGCCGGCAAAAGCCGACATGCGTGTCTGCTTTGCTGTGACTCTCAGACACCCGATATTAAGGTATCGGGTGTCTGAAAAAGGTTAACCCTTTCAGTAATGGATCTCTAGATAGTTAGACATCCATTACTGAAAGGTAACCGCTGATTCTCAGCGGTTAGCAGCCTTCTAGTGCAGCAAATAACTCGTCACGTACAGTGTACGTGACGAGTCATTTGGTCCCTTTGTGGCTGGACGTACAGTGTACGTCTCCCGTCACGAAGGGGTTAAATAGTTTGCCGCAGAATCAGCTGTTCCTTGAGCACTGGTCCCGACTTCCTATTTTAGAGTCACGCCTTTTTAAGCAGCGTGCTATGTGTTTTAGCAAGGTGTGTGTCTCAAACAGCAAATCAAGCTACTTTCTTACCACCTGGCCCCCCTCCTCCCAGCTAGTAGATGAACAGTTGGGATATTGTACTAGACAGGGAGTTCAGGGAAGCAGAGCTACTTTGAAGCAGCTGATGTGAAACGATGAAAAAAAAAAAAAAACCTAAGTTGAGTTTATTTCTTTATGCCTTTTGAAGCCCCACCTGTAGCAATTTCTCTATAGTCTCTTGCTTGGGGTACTGTACACAACTACATAAAGCCCTTCCTACAATTCTAAGTTAGTACGGGCTGTTGATTTCGGTAAAACCATGGATTATACAGTAGCCCCTCACAAGGGTCCTGAAGCCCCCTTTGGAAAGTGGCATAAAAAAATAAAAAATAAAACTCCACACGATATATGCTGAGAAATATTTTAGTAATTAGTGTTGTTCCAGATACAAGCTCTCACTGTAAAACATTCTGCAGTATTGACAAGATCTGTACCAATCCCACCACAGGCAGATTGAGAACACAGAGTTGGCCAGTAGAGCCACCAGTATCAGTGTTAGATTGAGACACTGTTTGCCATCTCGCTCGGATCCAGATAGGAATAGGGTAGGGACAAGGTCTTGTTCCTCTCTTGGATGGACGTGGAGATTACTGCCAGTTTATCCTGGAATTCCTTAATAAACTTCTGTGGAGTCTCCTCTGTAAAATGTACATCAGGGTAGCTTCCTAGAGTCCTCTGTGGAAGAGAGCTTCCTGAAGTTAGCAATACAAGTGCTTAAAGTCACCATAAAAATTGCCATTGGTTTGTCACATTCAGCTGAACTTTTTCTGTTAAAGTTTTGTAGCGTTACCAAACACTTCCGTTCTAATGAGCATCATTTTTTTCATACCAATCATGTATTGTGTTTATGAATGTTCCATTTATCATGTCTATCAATCATGTCTCACTTTATAATTTGAGTGTTATTTTTGTATGAAGAACTTAAAATCATTGTGGAGTGAGCTTACAGGGGAATCATGTTAGCTTACAGGGGAATCATGTTGTCAATTTTATGAAATCTATTTACCTTTTAATCAAATAAAATAAATATTTTCTAAACAATGTTTGGTTTGTAAGTTGTCAGCCGGTTGCCCAAAAAACCCCAACTTTCCTGATTTTTTGATAAACTACTTTCTAGGGGTGTGGCATCCTGTGTCTAGATTCAGGTCACTCCATTTCAAATCTAATGAGCATCAGAACATACAAACATTTGCTACTGGCTACAGATGGTGGGTTATGTTCCCTAACCCTTTGAAGCAAGTGGCTTGATCAGCTGCAATATTACAGAACAAGTCAAGTTGAAAACTTACTACCTATACCATGACCTGGATGAAGCACTGTCAGACAAAAACATAACACTATGCAGCCCATAGTATTCCATGTAAAACAATATTTATATGACATGGATCAAACATGTGATCAGCATTTTGTATATTGCTTCTCAGATTCTGGCACTTACCTTATTCTGGGGCTCATTGCTGAGGGTCCAAACTGTGACCATACCAGTAGCTGTAGTGTTCACATCTGGCAAAGCCTGTAAAATAGCTTGCATGGTGGTGACCCCTTTAGTGGTGAGTGGGGGACTCTTCATGGAGGTAGGGCCATTGGGCATCCAAGAATAGATATCATACTGCAGAAGAAGAAAGATGCAGATTATGTATCCAGAAGATTGTGGGTTTGCATACCTTCCAAAGAGTCATTTAGTAAGTGTCAGCTTACTATTGAAACTGTATGCATAGTCATAATATAAGGCTTATGTGAATGCTTTAAATGCCGAGGGGAAAAAAGCCACCTGGCAACTATTCTATAGTTGTCAGCTTGTCACTCACCTGACCATTGTTGACAGCTGCATGTTGAGCAGAACATGTAAAGATCACCATAGTTAGGTACTTTATCAGAGAGCCCTTGGCCTCAAAGGAAGATGGGATTTCTGTCACAGGAGAGACATTTTAGTAGAGCATTTATAAAGCCCACCCCAGGTTCCATTAACATTACATTTTCAAGTAACTTAATGCACAATTTGAGCAGTTAACATTCCATTGTGCTCCATCTACCTCTGATCAGCACATGGATAGTGGGGCTTGACACTTTCATAGCCCCTTCACAAAGTGTACGTCTACGCCAGTAGGACAATGCTGCGCACCTCCCCCGCCCCCCAACAATTCCTTTGTGCCAGAATAAAAATGCAGCTAACATTCTGGCACTGCAAGACAACCCCCAAACACAAAACAGTTTGTCCTGACATTAACACCAAAAGGCACCACACCACTTCTCTGCCATACCAAATTTAGGGCATTTTATAAAAAGGTCAGTGGGAAGCATACCTGAAGTTTTATATTCTAGGAATCCTTCCTTGAAGATCTCATCCACCCAGGCCTGAAGTTCAGGGTCTTGTCTGACCATTTCATCACTTGTATAGTAGTAATTAACAATGTCTGACACAAAGCTATGAAAAAAATATTTGTTTATTGATTTGACAATTTAAAGAAGCTGCATGTAAAGTGGTTTAATGCAGAACATTTTAGCATTAATAGAAAATCCCTACCTCTCCACAGCCAACCAGATCTTCATGCCATCATCCCTGTACAGGTAGTTAGGGATGGACTCCATTCCTCTGCTCTCAATATGATCAGGGAGACAAAGACTACTATAGGTCAGACCATCCATGGCTTTCTTTAGGAGTACTGGGACCCCTCCATTCCCCACTGCCACAGCCTTGAGAGAACCGAATATTAACATTTTTACACTTATTGCATTGTTACCAGACAAGTGTTGCCAGAAAGACAATTAGTAGGACTACAGGAGGAGATTGTGGACTTCGTTAGGGCAGGGTTAACATTTAGCCGTTTTTCACCAGCCGTGTCATCTTTGACAATAGGAAGCAGCACATGTGGGATTGGGCAGTATGTAGACCAATAAGATAGTGAAGTTGCCACTTTGGATACACCTAGAAGGCTCAGAACCCCAGGTTTTTATTGCCATCTTTGTTCACAGATCTATACGCCCGATACCATTGCAACTGGGACAGCAGTTATGAGAAATCCAAAGAGTCAGTCTTGGGATTTCTCATGACTGCTGTCCCAGTAGCAATGGCATAGTGAAGAGGGCAGATTTGACAGTGTTTTTGGCAAACACCCCTTTTTGCTATAAAAGGTTTGTCCTTTATAGTTTACCCTTGGGTTGAACATTATACAGGATTTATATAGCGCTGACAGTTGGGGAGCACTTTACAATACAAATCACAAGATGTTGAAGGCCCTCCCATAAGAGCCTTCAGTTTAAAAAGATTCAATTCCTGTCCAAAACAGGAAAACTCATCCCACTACATGAATTACCATAAATCCGACAGTTTTTGACCCTTCCTCAAAAAGATGTGACATATGGCATAAAAACAGCAATAGTGGTGACAGCAGCGTTATTTTAACTAGTTTCAACAATAGTTTAACTCAAGCAATCAAGATACTAGAGTATCTGTGGTCACCACAAAAACCAGACAGCCATTCTTACTTGATCAAAGAGGCCTTTGGGTCCAATAAGCTGCTTCCTGGCAAGGGTGTTTATTTCCAGTGTGTATTGAAGATGTGGCGTAATCAGCTAGGGAAGAGGAAAAAAATGATATCCATCCCAACTATCAAGGGAATTTGACCTTAATGTCAGCAATGTGCTGTTTTGCTTGAACACTCTATAGTTTGCCAACATAGAAGATTATGGAAGACAAGAGTTAAACCTCCCAAGGCCTCATTCATATCTTATCTCTGCATTAATGTGTTGCAATAATGGGCTGTTAATGCACCAGAATGGAAAAACATTGTGCTAGGGCTTAGTGCTTTGGAATCCTCCCTCCTTCGTGACACCCACTTACCTTATACAGTGGGTGTGCCATTGGAAGTTGCCTGGTTGTGGCAATGGAGAAAACTTCAGCTAAGAGATGGGTGCGGAGAAGGTGCGTATCAGTTTCATGTACCTGGAAGTCAGAATTACGCACCCAGATCTTGGCCAGTAACCAGTCAAATGCAGAGTCACTGGGCAGGAAGATTGGCACATTATCTCCAGGGGTCTGAGATAACTGCAAAAGAAAAACCACACCCTAATTGAAGACATATGAGCCAACATAAGCATAAATTGCATTAAGTAGGTTCAAAAATTGCATTTACAGTTTCTAATAGCACACCATGCAAGTGGTTCTCTAAAAGTCTACAATGCATTGTTAAAACAGTTTAGATTTTTACTACACAGTTGAAGCAAGGCTATGCCAGGTTTGCAGCGGAAAACTGATGGTGCCTGCAAGAGAATGCAGAGTGCTAGAGTTTAGAAAAATCTGCAGCGCTCTCAGGTTTGTGGTGAGAAAGCACTGCATGCAGGAGCTTTTCCCCAAAGAGGAAGCCACCATGTGTTCACCGATTGGGAAGTTGTTTGGAATTTTGAGGCATTTCTTGATCAGTATAGGATTAATTCCATTCAAATATTGGCTACCAAAGAAAGAATCTTCCTTCCATATCTCACTCACGCGATCTGAAATACAAGATTAAAGACTGAAAAGATTTAAACTGCTTCATTGAAAAGGTGCCTCTGAAGGCTGTTTTTTTTATAATGCACCAGCTTTATTTCCCCCCTTACTTGGATATACACTTGTGGACAGAGCTATGCCCAAGCATTGCATATTGGGAAGATATCAGCAGTGCATTGCTGGGAAATATCTGTAATCTCATTAATTCTCATGGAAAGGCATGTTCATGAGAACCAATGCAACATGATCGCAGTTTACAAACTCTGTGGTGACTGCAGTATTGGGAACATACTACTTAAACCAAGTACTGTGAGGTAGATGCGAGGGCACAAGTTGGAGGGGAGGAGCTATCGTCTACTGTGTAAGGGGTATTTACTGTGTAGTAAATTGAATTCTGACACTCTGCTAATGCCAACTGCCTTGCTTAAATAGAAGTCATGAGCGCATGGCAAGTATAGCCAGAACACCTTACCCACTCAAGTCACTGAAGCAATTGGGGCTGCTAAAAACATTAAGGCCTTGTTCACACCAAATGCAGAGCAGATCCGGTCAGGTTTCTGCACACGCACGCTAGTCTTTTAGACGCGTTTTGACGCATTCCGGGCTCCTTTTGTTTAAAAAAAATGTTTTTTTTAAAGTTTAAAATGGGCTTCGTGTGTTCCAGACAATGGCATGCGTTTTTGATGCGTTCTGCTCTGCAACTGCGATGTGAACTGGAGTAAAAAAATACCATTGGAATACATTATACGCAGTTTTGATCCGTAAAAAAAAAAAAAAATCCAAAGCGCCAATAATGACCAACTGATAAAAATGAAGTGCAAGCGTGGATAACTAGGGGTGCTGCCCCACTTCAGCCTGGGAAGCTGCAACACTATGGGAGAAAAGAAAAGAGAAGGGTGCCCACCCTAGTGTAGATGGTTTTCAATAATGTGAGCTAAAGTACAAGGTAAAAAAAAACAACAAACGAGAATCAGTAAAATCATATGAGATTAGCCAGAACGATATCTGAATATCAGCTGCACAGATGCCCGTGTATCAAACACAGGACTCCTTTTTGATGATGTGTTTCCGGGGCCACGCCCCCTTCATCAGAACATCAGTTTTGATCCGGTCTGCACCTGCTCCGCGCTTCGTGTGAACAAGCCCTTAGCTGATATGGATGCCCTGGATCCTCCAGGCGGACACATGCCTAGAGTAACATCCCCAATGCCCCCGCTCCCACCCTAGGGCGTGGATCGCTCCTTCCTCTACCCATTAGGGCACGGTACCTCCCAGGCAGGCTTCCCCCTACCCCACATCCCCCTCTACACCCTTACCTATGCTTTTCCCATCCCCCCCGCTTTCTCCTTTTTCCCCCCTTTCCTCATTCATCCCTCCTATTTCTCTTATTTTGGGTGCTCCTCATCGCTGTTACCGATCTCAGGGGCTCATCGCTTTACTGGACTCCTCATCCACAATGCAGTGGCACAGCCACAAGTGATGTTCATAAACGCGCTCTGAAAACACCGTTAGGGAGCTATATACCTTTCAGGTTAATATCCTCCAACTGATCCGTAGATCCCAGAAGCGTGCATGCAACTATACCGCGAATGAAGAGCCGGAGAGCTCATTCACTTACATGTGCCTCCCTCCCCCACTTCCTACACCCTCTACCCGATGAGCCTCGGGGCATCTCCCTTTTGCACTGTAATGTAACTTTATAGATTTTATTTTCTTGGAAAAAATTGCTCTTATTACATCCGTTTTATATTTTTGCTATGTAATACCTTGTCCCTGTAATGTACAATCACATGTAACCAAACAACTGATGATAAGTGTCTTGTTCTGTTCAATAAACTTTTAATCTTTAAAAAAAACAGACAAGCACGCGTTTGAGGGCTACCTGGCTGTATCCCAATGGATACGTGCGGCAAATACACCCCAAAGAAGCTCCTGTACTGCTTTGGGCCTAGGGTGTTTTGCAGCGCGTACCTACGCACTGTAAAACGCCCAGGTGGGAACCATGCCCATAGGCAATCATTGGTTTTCACATAGCGTAGGAACGCACTGTAAAACGCCCAGGTGTGAACCAGGCCTAAGGGATAAGACTCCTGACAGGCACATGATTAGAATTGAAGTTCTCACCACAGCAGTGACAGTCTTCCTACTCTTGAGTTAGAACAAAAACTAAAGGCAGCCTAGAGTACCTCCAACACAGGCATTCCAACTCAAGGTAGTCCCATCACGATTCAGATGCAAAGGTTAATTGGTGGGTTATACACTTACTGGCCATACTCATACAACCATGAACTACAAATAACAAGTTCTGCTTCACAGGACAGAATGATTCAGAAGCAGATTTTACGCACATGAATACTGTGATCTTCGCAGAGTAGACACCATTTTGATGTCTTCTAGGTTCTGCCATGAATCCATGTTGCATGCAAATCCTTTCAGCTTTGTTTCTATGCCACTAGAGGGGGGGGGAAAAAGGCCCAGAACTAGTAAGACAATGTTATATGGACTCATCTATAGTCAATACAGGAATACTTGGACTCCAAAAGCTGGTGCACAGTACTCAGCCCTGGTCAATCCTATATAGCATTCAGCCTCCTACTATAAAGATACATGTAGGCTCAGAGATCCTAGAGTACAGCTGGTCATTGACTGATTTTCAGCTACAAAGCCTGTGTAGTTTGGGGGGGGAA